ATTTTTCACTGTCTTTCAGTCACTCACACATTTTATCGATCCTCGGTACGTCATGCGCCATTGATTCTCAGCTTTGAACCTTTACTGCTTTTCGTTTTCCTGCAATTTTCTCATTACTGTAAATGCTCGTACATTTGCTGTGCTGATTGTGATTGCATCTTCTGTATTTTTTTCGTGTTTTTTCCGTTTTTTTTTTGCTTGATGTGATGCTAATCTGATCGATTCTTGTGTTGCTTGTTGTGCCTGAAACTGGATGATCGGCGACGGATGCAGGCTGCCTGCAGGTTTGTTTCCGTTGAAATAGCGATTAATGCTTGTTTATCTATCCATTTCTGTAAATTTTTCCATGTTTTTTTATGCTTTTAGCTTTGAGTTGTTCGCGATGGAGAGAATGTGTGTCGATCTTATGTTTGTGTTGTAATTATATGAGGTTTTTTGGTTAAATTTGGTTCGTAGAAGTGGATGATTGCGTAATACATGGTTACATTTTGGCGGCGAGAGTAATCTGGCCGATGATGATGATGATGATGATGATTTTTTAGCTGAAAACATCGAGTGTGATCTAATCTGATTGCTTAAGCTATGGTTATCTGTGTTGATCAAATGGATTATTACGATTTAGCGAGTTATTCGGAGAGCTGCCCAATCTTTTAGCTTAATTAACTTTTTGTCATTCCTTTCCAAAAGAAATTCATTGATGTTTTCCTCACTTTCGAATCTCGATAAATGCATTTTACTCTTATATGTTCAAAGTTACCTTTTCTGTTAATTGCATTTAGTAGACGTATACAATGTCCCGGATATCCAATACGACGATTATCTTCTTTTATGGTAGTCCATGTTATATTTTTCTCTTATTTAGTTATTGATGATTGCCTAATGTGTTGGGAAGTTTAATATACAAGGTGAAAAATGTTCAGTATTATTCTGTCTTCATCTCTTCTCTTAACTGAGACTATGTGGCTTACCCTTTTTATTTTGTGTTACCTATTATTTTTTCCTCGTGTTGTAGACAGGCGATTTCTGTTATCTCGGCTAGATGGACCAGGTAAAGACAGTAATCTTAAAAATTATTGTGCTTCTCGCAAAGATTTACAGAATTTGATGTTTCAAAATTGGTCAATGCAGTATGAAAAGGTTGAGAAGATTGGTGAAGGGACATATGGTGTGGTGTACAAGGCTCGTGATCGAGTGACAAATGAAACCATTGCTCTGAAGAAAATCAGGCTGGAGCAGGAAGATGAAGGAGTACCCAGCACAGCTATTAGAGAGATATCTCTCTTGAAAGAGATGAAACATGGGAATATTGTGAGGTACTTTCGGTTTATAGTAATTTGAAGTGGATGCTTAAAAATGTATAGGGGTTAAGAATTATTGTTGCAGAAGAGATTTTTAAGTTAGTCTGTTATGGTGCTTGAAAAGGCACTGTTGTCAACTAATTATTCATATTCAATTTTGTATGATTGACTGAAACGATGGAATATCAAGGTTATGTTGTTGTAAATGGCATGCTAAGTTTTCAAGCATAGCTAATTTCTGACTTTCGGTCAAAGGTTGCACGATGTGGTCCATAATGATAAGCGTTTATATCTGGTATTTGAATATCTGGACTTGGACCTGAAGAAGCACATGGATTCTTCCCCAGATTTCTCAAAGGATCCCCGTGTGGTTAAAGTATGTACGCCTATTTCTGCCGTCTTAAGGCCTGATGTAATAATCTTTCTTTAAGTTGAGTTTGTTGTCTGATGAGATTTACTGCAAAGGAGATTTGTAATTCTCGAGTCTTGAATGAAAAGCCTGCATGCTTAATTGCTTATTCTTTTTAACTGCTTCTCTCTCCAGTTACTACAATTATCAGTATGAGAAATATACCTGAAGCTGAGGGTTTTGCTGTTATTCTCATAAGATTAAAAAGAAGTTGAAGCATTAAAAATCTTTAGAGAGCTGCAAATAAAATCAAGTCAGCCTCGTTATCTTGCTAATGAATATTGACAATAAGTCAAATCTCTTTTCTCTCAGATGTTCCTTTATCAAATTCTCCGTGGCATATCCTTTTGCCATTCTCATCGTGTCCTCCATCGGGACTTGAAGCCTCAAAACTTGCTGATCGATCGAAGTACAAATGCATTGAAGCTTGCAGATTTTGGACTGGCTCGAGCATTTGGCATCCCTGTCAGGACATTTACTCATGAGGTAAAAATTTTCAGGACTAGGGTGCTTTTACCATTTCATATTTACTTGGAGCGCCTGTTTCATATTTGTTCTTATACTTTATTTTTGGCAATCGTTTCCGATCTTATTGTGCATTATATATCTACCTATTGAAAAATAGGAAGTTGCAAGTTGATCAGTACCTTTTGCTTTTCCTTAAACCATCCCTTTTTTGGCAGGTTGTGACATTATGGTACAGGGCTCCGGAAATACTACTTGGATCACGCCACTATTCGACTCCTGTGGACGTATGGTCAGTCGGTTGTATATTTGCTGAGATGGTTAACCAACGACCTTTATTTCCTGGCGACTCTGAGATAGACCAACTCTTCAAAATTTTTAGGTAATATAGCTTGAACAATGCAGAAGGCGTGTGTTATTTTTTGTCCTTTGAATAGCCTGACTAGGCTCTTCTTGCTGATAACATTAGAGGGCACTCTATAATTATTTGAACAACCATTTTCTTCCATAGGTCATTTTCAATTCTAGATATATGATTCTATAATATTTATTTCGTTTTTTATCTTCTTCTTTTTTTCAAGAATCATGGGCACTCCAAATGAAGACAGCTGGCCCGGGGTGACATCTCTACCCGACTTCAAATCAGCATTTCCAAAATGGACAGCTAAGGTGATTGGAATTAGGATGAGTTTTTCAGTCTTCTACTTTTCAGTTTCTTATATGAACTCATTATGATATTTAATCTTTAACTGGTATATTTGCCTCTCCAGGAGCTGGCAAGCGTTGTTCCGAATCTTGATGCAGCTGGCCTTGATCTCCTTAGCGTAAGTTCATTTTTGTTTCAAAATTTGATGGAAAATTGAACGATGATTCATATCCCTTTCCATCAAATAAATCAATTTGTTTGCTCTTGCACAACATGCTCTTCAGTATATGCAGACTGATGAGTTTGGTGACTGATTCTCATCCAGACGGTCCTTATAGAGAAGTTATGAGAACGTTCTCATCAATGTTGACCTGGAAAAATATCATATTGATGGTTCATTGAAGAAATAAAAGTATATTACAAGAATCTATAAATTTCAGTTTGATATCAAAACTCCTTTTTACTCCTTCAGTTTTTGCCTGAAGTTCCTTTTCACATAAAAATGTACCTTCCAGAATGTTAGCTCATAGCCGAGTTTTGAGTTTTCTTAACAAATGAGTGCAATATGTGGATGAATATTGGTGTTCACCTCTCATCTCTGATGGAAAAAAAAAACAACCGATCATAAATAACATATGTAATGTCACCATCTGTGTATAATTTTGAACGATTGTCATCTTTGTCCACTTTTGTACTGAAACAAGTTAATGATTACATTGCAGAAAATGCTCATCTTAGATCCCAGCAAGAGGATTACAGCAAGAAGAGCTTTGGAGCACCAATACTTCAAGGATAGCGGGTTTGTCCCGTGATTGCTTGCCCCTTATCCAGGTGCAGATGTATATTGAATTTGTCGAGTCGTGGGAGTTTGTTGTTTGAGTAAAAAAAATATATATATATGTGCTGATCCTTGTGTGCCCCCCTTTTTTTAAACATCGGTTTATCCAGTTTACATCAAAGTGATTCTGGGCTCAAGCAACAATGAAGACCTTTTTAGTGCTTGTGCTTTCACTTTGCTCGTATCAACCTTATTGTGTGTGATTGTGCCAAATTTTGTTCTTTTGTTCTATTTCTATCAAGTTTGTCGACGCTTATGAAAGATATTCTAGCCTTCAACTCTTGAATGGAATAGGTTGATATGGTGTGCAATTTAGCCAATGTTATTTTATTTTGTTTTTGCATATTGATTTGTTATCCTGCCTGGCTTTGGTAGGAGCCTTTCAAAGAAAAAATATATATATATATATATATATATATAAATACATTATACATCTCTCATTTCCATTTTGACGCTAAATCTCGGATTCTTGTCCTTGCATTCCACTCACCCGTTGGGATTTCAGAATCTATCTGTAGTTTGTGTAGTTTGTCAATATAAAAAAAAAAGGCTTAACTAAAATGAAAAAAACGAAACAAAAATCAAAATCGAGGCACGTAATAATTACGTTCTCCTTAAGATGAAATTGCCTCATAAAATACCCACGGTTAACGGCAAATGCCTTCAAAATACAATATACTATATGATCTTTGAAAAAATAATGCAAGAGCTCTCTACTTTTCATGTTAATGATTTCAAGTATGTGAGTATTTATAGATGTAGGAAAACACCTCCAAGAGGTTTAAGTGTCAATAGACACCTTTTGGGACGTACCCGAACGAGAATGGATGCATTTAGAGGCTAAAAGACACATTCTAGTTACCAAAGGTTGTGACCTTTCGGATTCCGCAGCCATCTGCGTGCCTGCGCGCCGCGGGCTCGTACGAGCTCATACGGACTCGACATCAAGTTCCGTTTTTTTCAACTCGTCCAATGAGCCATTCTACAATTTTAGCATACATAATGCATGATTATGGTTTGTTTAATTTGTTCAAACATTTATCAAAATATAATGTTTTACGAATCCAATAATTTGAGTTACTTAAACTCATTGTTTCAACTTTACATTTCACACATATACAACTTAGAATTAATTTTTCATTCACCTTAAAATGATTTTGAAAATTTTCTAAGTCTTCCACTTACAAAAAATGGAACCGTAAATCGGTACAAAACTAATTGAGGAATTTGCACCATGTACCCTTCAATACACTTTATATTATATTTATACACACAATAAATATTTATTTGCAACTCTACTAAATTCTGCATACTTATTTACACATATACTATATTTTTTATTTTGTTAATTATGAAAAATATTACCCTATTGAATGCACAATATTTTCCAAAGATATTGTCTTATTTAAACAGGTGAAAATTTTCCTTTTTTTAAATACCCTCGGCACCCTCTCCCCAAATTGAGTCTCGTCCTTCATCAATTTTTGATAGCATAATTTCCTCTCCCCTAAAAATTTTATCCCGTCGCCCTTAGAAATCTCAACAAAATCTCGATAGATTCAGCCCATCTGAATTGTTTCAATCAATCGCCGTCAACCTTGTCGATTTCGCCCTGAACACTGCCGACGTCTGCCCGTCGCACACCTTCAGTCGTCGAGAAATCGCCGCCATCGCGTGGCTCTGGCGTGCAGCCGCCGGCGTCCGCCAATCAACTGCCTACAGCCATAACCGACGACGGGTCTCCATATTCACCGAGAGATCTCCTTCGCGACCGGAAAAACATCAAAGATGAACCACAAGCGACCAACGAGAGCAGACCCGGCCCGACACCAGATTACCGTGTATTGAACTGCTGATTTTAATTTTCAGCCGACGTTTGGGGATTATTTAGGTCTCTGGTTGTGAAACTTTTTTTGCCTTTTTCACTTTGTAATAACCGTTTTCTTTTCAAAAGATTGCGGTTATATGTTGTGTATATACGGGTATATGTTCTCTATAATATAAAAGCTACTTTATATGTATTGTTTTCTACGTTATATGTATGGCTTATATTCAATATATTTTCGGTATATGTATGATTTATGTTTAGTAAAATCATGGAAAATATACACAATACATATACCATCATTACCGTTTGCGTATATGATGATATGTTGGGTTTATGTTAGTATATTTGCATAACTTTTCTTAAGAAAAAGATCGATGGCGCCTCTATTATTTTGTGTTGTGTTGTGGTATATCTACAGTATATGATCACTATATATGAAATGTATACTTTTTTACCTAGCAAGACGAAAAAAATATACCTTGATTTTAATCTACCTGTCAATTTTGTGGTAATTTTCGTAACTTTTTTCTGAATAAAATTAAAAAAGTTTTTTTTTTTTTTTT